AGAACCAAATTTTTATCGAGTTAAATTCTTGTACTAAATAATTTAATATTAAATCAAATAGCCAATCTTATTTCAAACAATAACATGATAAGCATAATTATTTTTAATATTCTATAAAACAAAAAGTCTCATATAATGCTATAAACAGAACATAAAATTCATATTATCAATTTCTAATGCTTTTCAACAATTTCAAACACTTCTGAAAAAAAAATTTAATGAGCTTATAAAATTTTGATAGTTTTTAGATTAGGAATGGTATATAGTCAGCTTATCTTGACCACCACTAATCAATCAGATTCACTTGCATATTTTATTTTATTTTTTTTGGAGTTGATAAGTTAAATATTCTAAAATGCGTGATCCTGATGCAGCTAAAGGATGTTCAAGAGCAATGGCTACAAGGATAAATCATAAAGTAGATTAATATAGACTTACAAGAATTAGAGTGTAAATTTTAAAATCGAAATAAGCACTTATCATCTAAAAAGTAAACAATTTTGAAAGGTCTAGTTAATACTATAGTAAGATTCACAATTTCAGATATAGCATACAAATATATTTACTACTATTAGCGTTGGTGATATTACGATCAAGTTCCAATTCCTTTTCTACAGAAATTGAGAAGCAAAGACCTCATTGACTTCCACCAGCCCAATATCTGAAAGTTTAAGATTGGCTCTTTTTAATGCTTCTTTAATTGCCGGTACAGGACCTATTTACATAATTAGTGCTTGGATCTATTCAAAAAATCTGTTAGATTTTCAATTAAATATCTATTCATATCAGATAACAATAATAGATTTGTGGATAGTCAGATATCTATTAAACTATCCTATACTTTAATTAATTATTATCATTATGATGTATTAATATTGTTATAAATAAATAACATATTTTATTTGTAATATAACTTTGATTATTAATAAGTATTTTACTTTAATCGCAGAATTTTTTTTTTTTATACTTTCTCATTCATAATCATAATAATAATGGACAGCGAAACCTCAAGCGAAACTTCTCTGAACTGTCTGAATAACTATATTGTTAATACTAATCATATTGTTACTACTTATAACAAAGTTACTACACATGCGGTGGATGATGCATATGCGATAGCTGATATACATGTAGTAGATAATACACACGCGATAGATGATACACATATGACAGATAATAATTTTAAAAAAAAGAGGAGGTTTAAAGAAAAGAAGTTGGGTATGGGATCATTATACGATCTTACCTAATCAATATGAATCAAAAAGCTAGTGTAATAAGTTAACAAAAGAAGGCACAAGATGTAATCATATTATTGAAACAGACAGTGGTACAGGAAATTTCAGTTATTATATATATATGGTGTTACCAAATTTGGCAAATATTAGATACTTCTCATTTGTTATTTGATGAAATATTCTATCAACAATTCAAAAAATAATATTGAATATAAAAAGCAAGTCGACGAAATAGTGACTGAATTTATCATATCTGATTCACAACCATTTTCTATTTTAAAAAATACAGCATTTGTAAAACTTTTAAAAAGCTTAATCCATATTATAAAATATCTTGTGATAAAGGTATTAAAGCTCGAATCTATATGACCTATAATTGGATGATAGCTACTCTTAAAATAAGTTAAAGAATTTGATAAATTATTGTGGACTAACTATGGATCTTTGGACTACTCGCAATAATAGTGGATATCTTAGAATCACGTATTTATGGATCAATTCTTACTTTGAGCTACAAGAAATTACTTTAGCTATTCATGAAATAAAACATCTACACACTGGGTATGCAATTGCTTCTGTATTAAAATCTATCATTCAAGATTGGAACTTGAATATGAAATGTTTTATAATAACAACAGATAATGCCAAAAACATGAAAAAGCTATTATGGAAATTGAAAATATCGATTGTCTTTCATATAGTACATATACTCTGCAGCTAGTTGTAGGAAAAGAATTGTTACCAGTTAAAGTTTTAGTTGTACGAGCAAAATGATTAATACAATGTATCAGAATGATATACTTTGAAAGCAACTAACATTGCCTTTTACATATTA